CGATGATATTGTAGGAAGAGATCAAGAAAGCCCTTGAAGATGTCTGTAACATGCTTCCTACTTCCCTCAAGACTGAGGTATGTCTTTTACTTTTTTCATTTTTTCTTTTGTTTTCACTCTTTATATTACCTTCGTTCCCACATCTTTCTTCCCTCCCTTATTATAATCACTTATTATACCTCACTCAGACCGACAGCGTTTGCTTTTCAAGCTATAGGTAACTTGGCCAATTGGTAGGATTATAATTTTCTCTCTGTTGCTATTCAGAGTTTTTTTTTCTAGTGCTTGGCAGTCGTGGACAAGTATACCGCTGACCTTATTTGGTTACTCACTGAGTTTCCTCCGTACGCGGTGTGCAAGGTGGGTACGAGTCGCTCCATGCACTAAACACACCCTCATTCCTTATGTAGTGTGACGCTATCGTTGAACAGTATGGTGATCTTATCATTAAGATAATATTAGGCGAAATAACACCTGATGAAGTCTGTAAGGTTGGTGACTGCTTTGTTTTTTCAGCCTTCTGAAACTATTCGCAACAACGAGTTCATGAGCCTTTCACCTTTGTGATTTCTTCCAGATTGACTTTACCAGACATCCTGTAGTAACACTGGACCTCTAGGAAGAACAGTTTAGAACTGATAGAATTACTACCCAGTATAATTAAAGTTAGTTTAGTTTAGGTTTCCTCCTATAGTTACACTGGATCAATAAAAGATGATTCTTACTGGACCTCTAGGAAAAACAGTTTAGAACTGATAGAACTACCCAGTATAAATAAAGTTAGTTTAGTTTAGGTTTCCTCCTGGAGTAACGCTGGACAAATAAGAGATGATCCTTACTGGACCTCTAGGGAGAACAGTTTAGAACTGATAGAGCTATCAAGTATAAATAAAGTTAGTTTAGTTTAGTTTAGGTTTCCACCTGTGGTAATACTAGACAGATAAGCTATGATATGCTCTAAAGATCTCTCTATCTCTTTCTAGCTCCTCAAGCTATGCTCAGCTTCAAAGAAATTGCAAATCAAAGACGAATGTTCTTTGGGTGAATCGTATTGGTGCGCTAGTTACAAGAATGCTCTGAAATGCGACGTAAGTTGCTTGGCCTCTTTAAGACTCGGCCCAATCCCCACCCATTTTAAACCGAGGTTTGCAGTGGGAACTGGGTCTAGTTTCCTGTCTCGGCAATAGAACAATTACAGATATGAATGAACTATTTGGTTCTGAGTTAAGCTTGCTACTCTGACTCGATAGTTTGGGATTTACTTGAATTGGGTGACTTCCTTACTTAGTTGATTTTCTCCAGTGCTTTGAGGGCTCCGGTTTCCTTTCCTCTCCAAAAACTAAGTTGTTGATTGATTTCGTGTATCACGAGCGAGCCTTCGCAATCAACATTAAATAACTATAACTATCAAAATAATAATTATTACTATCGTTTTAATTTTTTCAGGCGTTGGAGCATTGCAACTATCTCCCTTAAGAAGCTACGTGGATAATGATTAATGTCACTTAACTCTGCACTTAATTTTATAGACGTAATTCGCAATTTCTAATCATAATCGACGTAATAATAATAATAATAACGTAATTTCTACATATAGTTTAACGCAATTAGCACATTTCAGTATAGGCATAAATGTTGTATTACACTATACTTGGGGTAAAGTGAAAGCATTTAGGCACTTGAAAAACTTAAAAGAAAGTTGACTTTTATAGAATGTTATTTGCCTGTTTGGGGAAGTGTACTATCTTGAAACGTTTTCTATGCGTTTTTGAAATTTTTAATTAAAATTTGTTCTTGTCCGTGGTTGTTCTATTGCTTTTCTTTTATTGTATTCGCTGACTGCAGTTACTGCATTGAGTAATTTTACTAGTTTATGTCGTAAATGATTTCTAAACTAGCTTTATTTATACTGGATAGCTCTATCAGTTCTAAACTGTTCTCCCTAGAGGTCCAGTGAGGATCATCTCTTATTGATCCAGTGTTACTACAGGGAGAAACCTAAAACTAAACTAACTTTATTTATACTGGATAGCTCTATCAGTTCTAAACTGTTCTTCCTAGAGGTCGAGTAAGGATCATCTCTTATTGATCCAGTGTTACTATAGGAAGAAACCTAAATTAACTTTATTTCCAGTGGATATGTCTATACCAGTTCCAAACTGCTTTCTCTTAAGGCTAGTTTCCACTCAGGAAAATTATCCGTGGATTGGAATTAACGGACAAGAAAATTTTTCTTTGTGTTAAAGTCGTTAGTTCCAACCCACCGTTCCAATCCACGATACTTTTCCTAAGTGGAAACTAGCCTTTAGAGGTCCAGTAAGGTATTTCACCTCTTGCCGTGAAAAAAACTGGTGATTCAAATGGGAACTGAACGCGTTTTTCTCGTATGTGACTGAGGTGAAATTATAATCAGACAACAGCATATTGAAGACATTCAATGTCAAAGAGATGGAAGACATACCAGTTCTACGGATACTAGCGAGAGCGTTCATGCATCTTTCAGGAGTTGATAAAACTGAAGGAAGATGAGCGTTCCATAAAAAGAAATGTTTGCAAGCTTTTACTCATGTTCAGAGTTGCTGGAAAAACCAAAGGTATGTTCATTATTAATTCTTATCATGATTCTAGTCTACCAATGAGGATCTCCCAGGAGTTTCAAGGGGAACATGGTGAAAGCATTGTGTAGTCTTCTGGCCTATAGAATTGAGGGATGTACTTCAATTTGCTTGCTTCTATAACTGACGACAGTTCTGAAGTTGAACACCATCTACTGCCCTCGCTGAAACCAACCAATTGTAGAAAGTTATTTTGTCGTGTAGATTCCAAGGATGAAACTATTTGTCAGGAGTGTATGTATGCAATCAACTACCTGGGAAACATGTTTCCAAAGAACACGACTAAGGTACGAAACTTGCATGAAATATCATTGCAATGATTGATGAACATCGAGATTGGATAATTTTAAAATAAAGATGCACATTTTCCTTTTATGACTTTTGTACACAGGAGGAAATTTGGAATGGATTGAAGATCTTTTGTTCGCGATTTCCACCATCTGTAATGAAAGATGTAAGTTTTTATTAGTTGGCTTTAAACTACGCTAACATGTACTGGATACCACGACAGTATCCAGTAAGGATTATCTATTCTTGATCCAGCTAGTGTTACCACAGGAAGAACCTAAACTAAACTAACTTTATTTATACTGGATAGCTCAGTTCTAAACTGTTCTTCCTAGAGGTCCAGTAAGGATCATCTCTTATTGATCCAGTGTTACTACAGGAGGAAACCTAAACTAAACTAACTTTATTTATACTGGATAGCTCAGTTCTAAACTGTTCTTCCTAGAGGTCCAGTAAGGATCATCTCTTATTGATCCAGTGTTACTACAGGAGGAAACCTATTAAACAAAACTAACTTTATTTATACTGGATAGCTCTATCAGTTCTAAACTGTTCTCCCTAGAGGTCCAGTAAGGATCATCTCTTATTGATCCAGTGTTACTACAGGAGGAAACTGGAATAGCTGGAATACCTGAATTTGGTGAGGTGAAATTATATATTGCTGGACATACATTGCTCTCGTTGTACCTGAGTCACAGAGTTGAAAGCAGATGCACTAACCATGCAAAGGTTATTCGTACTCTGTCTTAATCGTATATGCTGTTTAGTGTGACGAGGTCATTAAAGAATATGGCGACTTTTTGGTGAAACTGTTGCTTGGTGAAATTGATCCTGCGACGTTCTGTAAGGTACGTCTCGTCAAAGATCTAGGAAGATCTTTAGAGTTTAGAGTATTCTCAGTTTAATCAACGACCTACAAATACGGATAAAGGCTAGAGAAACAATATATTCCTGGTTTGTGCATGACATCATGACAGCCATGTTGGACGATTGGACGAATGCTAACAAGAGAATATGATTATAGCAACTCTTGTATTTGGAGCGTGTTTTCCTCCATCAATCATCATGTCCGCCGTGTCTTTGTCTTGTAAATCTCAAAAAATTGCAAACCACCAGTGTGGCACCAGATATTTCCGTGCGGTAAACACGTGAAAACGCACAAGTTGTTACAAGTCTGCAAACAAGTTGTTAGAAATCTGTTCACAAGCTGTCAACAAGTTGTGTTCGCACTGCTTGTTCCCAGTTGTTGGAACAAGCTGTCAACAACTTGTAACAAGCTTGGTGGCATTATCAGGTTGTTCTAACAAGTCTGATACAGTCATGATACAACAAGAATGTTACAAGGTTGACGAAACAAGGTTTTAACAATATTGTTATATCATGAGACATGACTGTATCGGATTTGTTGAAACAAACCATAGATGTTATATCTATGGAACAACCTTGCAACAAGTCAAATAATGTCAACAAGCTTGTCAACAGCTTGCTCCAAACTTGTTGACAACTTGGGACAAGCAGTGCGAACACAACTTGTTGACAAGATGTGAGTTTTTACGCGTGTAGAACATGACTGTTTTGACAATTTTGACTGGCAGAGTAAACAAGATTCTTGTATGACTGAACCGTTATATCTGATAAAATTTTATAGGAACTTGGATTGTGTCAAGTCAGTTTGGAACAAAAGGAGAAAGTCAAGGAGGATTTAGATGCAGTAGTATTATAAACTTAATGTTATTATGTTTGAAATGGAGCGTATAACATCTTAAAAAAGACAATCAGGAGACACTTACGATATTACGTTTGATTTCATTTGATATTACGGAAACTGAAATTTATTCTCTTTTAGATAAATTTTTGTATGCAATTCAATTATGGGGAATTTGTTTTATCAATCGTATCATTTCAATGACCTATATCAACAGATCATCCGTTAAATGGATTTCCATCTTATACTGTAAACATGAGACGAACTGTCCAGATGAACTAGGTAGAAATAGTGCGCTCTGTACCGGCAAGGCGGCAATGATAGTTGGTAGCCCGTAATGATCTCTAGGAACTAGACAGCTATCAGAGTGACGTAATTTTTTCACCTTGTGTATTCACCTTGTGTATGTGCAATGGACTGAGTACCATATATACCAACACATTTCGTTGACAACCATGTGCAATCACCATACATCCATTGCAACAGTTAGAATGCAAATTGCAACAACCTTGTAGCAAATGAAGCAGATTATTGAATACTTTCGTCAGTTTGACAGTTTCGAGCACTTTACGTTTACGACATGAGATTTTGGGTTTTGGTTTTAAAACTGTTTCCTATTAAATTTCACGGTTGGTGCATGTAGCGTGACATCTTCACAGCTTTTGTCGTAAACGCGGGAAGTTTGAAAAATGTTGTAAACAAAAACTTATTTTGTTATCTGATCTGTTTTAATTATAAATCCGATAAATCATTTCATCTTCAAAATTCGTCAAAAGTTTTAAATTTAACAAAAATTTGTAATTATAAGCATAGTTTCTTTTGTGCGTGTCGATTTCTATAAATAAAACGCTTTATGTTAGAAAATATTCGTGTGTTACAACAGAATGCTTTTAAATGCTAATATTTTATTGTTCATTGCATTTTATTGTGTGCTATTCACGTGCAAACTTGCCGATGACCACCAAACAATTACGAGCTTTTTCCCAACATTTTAACACATTTTTATTAAAATAAAATCGTGTATTAGCAAATTGAAAGTATAAATTATAAGTTTTGAGACTTTTAGCCAAATAACTTTGGTTTAAATGCGTAAATTTTCAGCCAAAAGCAACAAAAAGTTTCAGAGAGATTTCGTATACGGCATAAGACCCTATCTTATATGAATTACAAATATGTATTGCAACAATGAGAAAATGGCGGTTAGTCAGCCTTAGCTAAAACGATGCATGCGATTTAGCTTATATTTCAAGGTAAAAATATATGTCGAGTTCTTAAAATATAAACTTCAAGGGTTGTTGTTGTTGTTGTAGGATCAAAATTTGAGTAGTTAATTGAATACCTTTATATATAATTGCAGCCCGTGTTGATGTAAGTTTGAATTCTCCTTACGTGGAAATTAACTTGCTCCAAAACGAGGACTCGTATTCTCGTGTTCAGCTCTCTGTTTCGCATCGCTAGAAGTCGGAACGCTTTTGAAATCAATCGTGAAATTAGGAGCGCATTTTCTCGCTCAATTCAAGTTGTTTACAGTACGAAAATTATCCAAAATTGCAGTCGAAATACTGCTCTATTATTCTGCTTTTTAAAACGGGAGAAACGACGGCTGTAGCGGGTTTCATGTGCAGTTGACGTGGAGCTAGTTTGCACTGGTTTGCTTATCATTTCTACTGTTTTATTATTCTCCACGAATTTTGAATATTTTGGTTAAACTTTTCTGGCCACCGGAACCTATCATTCGCTGAACTGTGGGGATCAGAAGTCACATTGTTTATTTCTTAATACTTTGGCAACGAAAGTTCCTTGGATATGGTTTAAATAACAGATTTTTGGAGCGTTTTTTTGTCGCTGTTTTTGAAGCCGAGCTGACACGATATAAAGTACAAAATATCATTGGAAATTCACCAACTCTTGCAGAAGGGAAAAGAGTCCTTTTTATTGGTATTTCTGCTTGAAAGGAATAGTAATTTGAGTGAGGTATCGCTTAGTAGATGGGACGGATAGTAACTTGGAGTTGAAATACTATTCGCCGATATGTGACCGATCTTAAAAGTTTAAATATATCGTCATTTCTCGCGCCTAATATACTACATGAACTTGAAGTGAAATTCGGAGTGAAACTTTGAACCATTTAAAAGGAATTTGAAATGGCAGAAGGAACGAGAAAAAACCCTTTGGAATACCAACGGGAATACAACGAATTTATGTATAAATTAAAGAGATTTTTGACTTCAAAAGAGTAAGTGAATTTCGGGGTTTTAAATGCCATGGTTTACATGTTATTGTGTGCATATACAAAAGTACAATTCTGTTGTTCGTTTTTGAGTAATATCTAAAGAGTTGGGGTTAATTTTGAGAATATGTAATTATTTTTTATTGTTTGTTTATTATTCTAGCATGCCAATGAAGAAATTACCTCAATTTGGTGGGCAAGACATAGATTTGTATCTTTTATACAAGACAGTCACAAATCTTGGAGGCTGGCTAAAGGTAATTTTCATTTTATTTTCTACTTTTCATTTCATTTCATTTAATTAACTTTGGCATTTGACCAAATTTAGGTGACTGATGACCGAAATTGGCACGAAGTGGCAAAGAACTTTAATTTACCACCAAGTTGTTTGAATTCGGCATTTGCTCTAAGGCAATTGTATGTTCGGTAAGTATGCTGCTGCCAAAATATTGTCCTGACGTACAATACTACAGAGGCAAGGATACCACAGAAATTATGCAAAGACAAGATAGTCTGATATTATGTCTGTGCTTAAAGCCTGGTTCACACTGGTCGTAATTCATCGGCGATCTATTGTATTCTTTTCCGACAGACAAAGCATTTTACACACCAATGACCACAGACAATGGAAATCTCCAATTCTTACGACCAGTGTGAACCAGGCTTAAACATGGCGAACAAACAGATCATCTGTCAATACAAACAATGTATATATTCAGACTTGTAGTTCATTTTGATCTGTTTCTGCATAAAACTATCGTAAACCTCCGACTAT